CCCCAAAACCCCAAAACCCCAAAACCCCAAAACCCCAAAACCCCTTGCTTCAAAATGTAAATTGAAATTATATTAAATTATAAGCCATAAATGATCCCTCGCGTCTGAGCTAGGCTCTTCAGACCTACAAAAATGAAGTATTCTCAAAGAGTTTTCTGAACTCTGAATGAAAAAGCTGAAATAGAGAGTTTTGACAGTAAGGAGGAGGTACTTTCTGTGAAAGAGGATCATCCAGAGATTATACAACAAGAGCAAGAATTTCATTTCCCAACCGAAGCGGAGATGGAAATACTCACATGAGGAGATTTGGAATATAAGCTTAACAATCTTGATAAGCCGTATGACGAGGTTTCGGTTCGAAGGAATTTTCATAATACCATGGTTGGTTATAACCAAAAAGCTCATACTTTAAGAGGTATTTTCATGATCTAATTCTCTTTAGGACAACTCAATGAGAAGCTCTCAAACAGGTATGAACAAGAAATGGAAGTCTTGTTCCTAGGCTCTGGAAATACTGGTAAATCTAGCCTTATAAATGCTATTCTTCAGTCTAAAGTTGCAAAGACGTCTGGAAAATTGAGTAAAACACAGGATTTGATCAGGCACAAAGTTGGCAAAAATCCTAACTCAAAGTTTGTTCTAATCGACTCTCCTGGCTATGGTTACTCAAGAGCACCTACAAAGGCAAAGAAACAGTTCCGTAAATAAGATTTTCCAGCACGTTGCTCGTTCAGAGACCCTTCTGAAGATCTATTTGCTTATAAATGCAAACAATATTAATTCCTCAAGAAGAGGCTTGAGAATTATCGAAGAAGAAATTTTAGGCCAGCTCGATCGATTCGAAAGACCTATCCAGATAGTCCTGACAAAGATAGATAAAATCAATAGGAAAGAGTCACTGATGAGAGTTTTAGCCCAGACTAGTTTGGAAACAAGAAAGTACAAATCAGTCCTTCCAGCAATTCATTTCACTTCAGTCAAAGATAATGTTGGAATCACAGATCTGCACACAAACATTGCTTTGACTTTCCTCAGAGATGACTTTTACATGTAAATTCAATATTTTAGGAAGCTAAAGGGGTTTTGGGGTTTTGGGGTTTTGGGGTTTTGGGG